GGGATTTCTTCTCAATTCCTGTGGCTATGGAGCAGAAAGTAAAGGTAAATGTTCCTAATGGGACACAGATGGCAAAAAAATTGGCAAGGGTTATAACCCTCCCTTACTCTCCAGGGTGAAAAAGGATTTGCCTTTAGTTCTACTTTAATTCTTGTATTATTGCAGCATATCCTTAAAAACAAATGCTGACATTGTAGTTATACAGGTGTGCTCAAAAGATTGCATACCCTTTTAAGTGAGCAGGCAAAACACATTTCTTTTATTCCTTATGGGATTCATATTCAGCTGTAAGTGATAACAGATTGCACAATCATAAAACAAAACATGCCAACAAGTAAACAAATGAAATGCCCCCAGTTCAAAAGTCTACATACCTTTAGTTTTAATACTGTGTATTGCCCCCATTAGCATCAATGACGGCGTGCAGTCTTTTGTAATCTCCTATGGGGCCCGTATTCTTGCAGGTGGTATAGCTGCCCATTCATCTTGGCAGAATGCCTCCAGGTCATGCAAAGACTTGCTTGAACGTTTGAGATCTCCCTAGAGTGTCTCGAAGATATTAAGGTCAGGAGATTGTGATAGCCACTCCAGAACCTTCACTTATGTTCTGCTGTAACCACTGGAGGGTCAAGTTGGCCTTGTGCTTAGGGTCATTGACATGCTGGTAAGTCCAAGAGTGTCCCATGCGCAGCTTTTGTGCAGAAGAATGCAAATCATCTGCCAGTATTTTCTGATAACATGCTGCATTCCTCTTGCCATCAATTTTCACAAGATTCCCAGGGCCTTAGAGCTCACCCCCCCCCCCCCCCCCAAAACATTGCATCAAAAGGTGGTTCTACAAAGTATCGACCTCGGGGGGGCTTAATACAAATGCATGCTACACTTTTCAGATATTTGTTTGCAAACATTTTGAAAACCATTTCTCATTTTGCTTCCACTTCACAATTATGTGCCACTTTGTGTTGGTCTATCATATAAAGTTCCAATAAAATACATTTACATTTTTGGTTGTAACATGACAAAATGTGGAACATTTCAAGGGGTATGAATACTTTTTCAAGGACTGTATATCCTTTTTCATCTTTATAAAGTTCAATTACCTTGTTATGCAGGTCTTTTGAAAGTTCTTTTCTGCTCTCCATGGCTCAGTATCTAGTCTGCTCAGTGTATCCACAAGCTAACAAACTTTGTTTATTTCAGGATTTCTGCCAGGGTATGCAAACTTTTGAACACAACTGTATATACACTGCTCAAAAAAAATTAAAGGACCGGTTTTTAATCAGAGTCTAGCATCAAGTCAGTGAAACTCCTGGGATATTGATCTGGTCAGTTAAGTAGCAGAGGGGGTTTTGGTAATCAGTTTCAGCTCCTTTAGTGTTAATGAAATTAACAGGTGCAACTAGATGGGCAACAATGAGACGACCCCCAAAACAGGAATGGTTTTACACGTGGAGGCCACTGACACTTTTTTTCCCTGCTGATCTTTTCTGACTGTTTTTCACTAGTTTTGCATTTGGCTAGATTCAGTGTCACTACTGGAAGCATGAGGCCATACCTGGACCCTACAGAGGTTGCACAGGCAGTCCAACTCCTCCAGGATGGCACATCAATATGTGCCATTGCCAGAAGGTTTGCTGTGTCTCCCAGCACAGTCTCAAGAGCATGAAGGAGATTCCAGGAGACAGGCAGTTACTCTAGGAGAGCTGGACAGGGCCGTAGAAGGTCCTAAACCCATCAGCAGGACTGGTATCTGCTCCTTTGTGCAAGGAAGAACAGGATGAGCACTGCCAAAGCCCTACAAAGTAACCTCCAGCAGGCAACTAATGTGAATGTCTCTGATCAAACAATCAGAAACAGACTTCATGAGGGTGGCCTGAGGGCCCAACATCCTCTAGTGGGCCCTGTGCTCACTGCCTGGCACCATAGAGCTCAATTGACATTTGCCATTGATCACCAGAATTGGCGGGTCCACCACTGGCACCCTGTGCTTTTCAAAGATGAGAGCAGGTTCACCCTGAGCACATGTGACAGACATGAAAGGGTCTGGAGAAGCTGTGGAGGACGTTATGCTGCCTGTAACATCGTTTTGGTGGTGGGTCAGTGATGGTCTGGGGAGGCATATCCATGAAGGGACGCACGGACCTCCTAAAGGCTAGACAATGACACCCTGACTGCCATTAGGTGTCAGGATGAAATCCTTGGACCCATTGTCAGACCCTACACTGGTGCTGTGGGTCCTGGGTTCCTCCTGGTGCATGACAATGCCCGGCCTCATGTGGGGAGAGTATGCAGGCAGTTCCTGGAAGATGAAGAAATTGATACCATTGATTGGTCTCCACGCTTGCCTGACCTAAATCCAGTAGAACACCTCTGAGATATCATGCTTTGGTCCATCCGACGCGGCCAGGTTGCACCTCCAGGAGCTCCGTGCTGCCCTGGTCCAGATCTGGAAGGAAATCCCCCAGGACACCGTGGTCTCATTAGGAGCCTGCCCCGACGTTGTCAGGCATGCATACAAGCATGTGGGGGCCATACAAACTACTGAGGACCATTCTGAGTTGCTGCAAATTTCAGCCAAATGGAGTAGTCTGCTGCATAATCTTTTCACTTGTTTTTCAGCGTGTCTTTGAATTCAGTCCTCTTTTGGTTGATAATTTTCATTTCCATCAAACAATGGGGCATCCTTACGTTCCTAACACATTACCCATCCATATCAGTATAGATATCCAGCAGGAGATATTTCCCCAGTGGGATCTGATGTGTTTTCATAGTGTTCCTTTCATTTTTTTGAGCACTGCAGTAGCAAGTCATTTCCTGTTTGCAAGACTGGTCACCACTCTCCACTCCCTATGAGCAGAGACCGGTCATAGAATAGTCCTGCTGTAGTTCAGATTCACAGCACTCATGTCATGATTTAAGTCTGGACTGTAGCGGGGTGGGAAGAAGGTGGGAAGCCTATCTTTGCCTGCGACTGCTTCTCTCCTCACCCATATGTGGGTGCGGTGACAGGAAAAGAAAACACCTTTGGCACCCCCACAGAACCACCTAATCATGTTACCACACTCCCAAAGTTTAATGAGAGATAGGTAGTTCTGTGCAGCCCTCCAATGTGCTCAAAGGTAGAATGAATTTTGGCAGTGATTAGTGACATCACAGGTTGTTTTTTCATTTGAAAAATACATGGGCCCTAACCAAAATGAAGCTATAGGGGTTTTTTTTATGAACCATGCCAGCAGAACTCCATACACAGATTGTAAAAAAAATAAAGCTTTATTAGACATCATTAAAACCACGATTGTTACAGAAGATTTGAGCATCAACATAGCTAAGTAGGTAAAAATAGGTAACCATTACATATTGTGACTACATCAAGCTTGTTACAGATCACGCCATCAAATTCTCATAAATATTACAGTAGATGTATAAATAGCTCTTATGTAACTTCTTTGAGATTTTTCTTCAAAATGTTTTGTTAGGACAAAAGCCTGCTTCCTCGGGGAAATTTAACACACAATTCTAGAATTATAAACAGAGCCATAATAAACAAAACAAAGCATATAAAAAAAACAAAAACATAAATCTAGGGATTGCTAGAAAGCTGTGACATGAAAGCAAAATCAAGGGGGAGCTTGCAACAGAAAAAGGGATAGCACGAGTCATGTAAATACGGTGTGTTTCAAGAATGACCCAATTTCAAATAGTTATATTTAATAATGAAAATGTGTTAGTTACAAACTATTAAGTCCTTAAGTTTCACTCACCATGTCATAAATGTCCTATGTGCCCTCCACCTGCTGCCCGGATAACATCAAGACGGCAGCTGAATTCATCCTCAAGGCGTCTGAGTGTCCTCGTCCACAGAAGTTACTGCAGTCTTGATTCTGTTTTTGCGCTCATCCAAGTCAGCAGGCGATGGTGGAACAAAAACACGTTTTACATTTCGCCACAGGACTAATGTTTGGAGATGTTGGGGTCAAGAATGTACAGTAGTGTCAAGTCTTAGGGTCCCATGCAACCTATCCAATGTTTGGGCAATGTTATATTTATAAATCGACGTATTTTGTTGTGCCAATGTGGCGGTGCTCTGTCTTGCTGAAAAATGAAATCTTTAGAGTCTTCATTAAGTTGTGGGAAAAGACAGTCCTTCAGCATTTCAAGAAAGGAATGTCCTATAATAGTGTTTCCCTCAAAAAAGAAAGGGCCATAAATATTTGTAAATGAAACCTCACAAAGCACATCAATTTTTCAAATTGTTTATACCAGGGCGGCACAGTGGCTTAGTAGTTAGCACATCTGCCTTGCAGTAAATGGGTCATGGGTTCGATTCCCAACCATGGCGCCTCCTGCATAGGAGTTTGCATGTTCTCCCGGTGCTTGCGTGGGTTTCCTCTGGGTGCTCTGGTTTCCTCCCACACTCCAAAGACATGCTGGTAGGTTAATTGGATCCTGTCTAAATTGGCCCTAATATGTGTATGTATGAATGTGAGTTAGGGACCTTAGATTGTACACCCCTAGATGGTTAGGGACTGATGTGAATGTACAATATATATATGTGTAAAGTGCTGCATAAATTGACAGCGCTATATAAGTACCTGAAATAAATAAATAAAATACCAACGACGAATGTTCTTTGCCACTGGTGGATCAATCCCCAAACCACTGTCAAGATGCACACTGCATTGTTATTAAGGATCTTGCAAAATTTGAGAACACAATACGCTTTCTGTTGCATAGATGCCATCTTATTAACGACTGAGGTTCCGCGTCTATTTGGGTGCTAGTAATGGTGTCTAGCGGCTGTCATTTCAAATCCTAGGACATGCCCTTTCAAATAGTACAGATTTCATTGGTGATTTGTGGTTGCATAGATATAAGGTTTTCAATTCGAGTCATTCTTTTTGAAACACACTGTATGTGAATAATGAAACTAAAGTCATGTTTTTATTCAAAGTAAGTCAGTGATTGTGTCATGTCTTTCAATGTCTTTCAACTGCTGATAGGTCCCAGACTCAGAGATGCTTCAGTACCCATTACCATCAAATCAGTCATCCTCTGATTTAGACATCTCTCAAGGACACGTTGATGGAGTATTGAAAGGTTGGTATTTTAGATCTGCAATTGCATAGAGCTTTTATACATTTATTTGGTATTAAACTGTTTTATTTCTTTTAACAGACCTAAGGAACGAAATAAACCTTCTGTTTTCAAAATATGCAACGTCATTGAGGTAATGGTGCTTATTGATAATTTGGTCACCATTCTGGTAGTAATGTAATACTGCTCAATTAATTAAAGTCAGTAATATCAGTAATACCTTTCATAGTAACTAATAATATTAACCCCTTGTTGCTGCTGGTACGGCCTCACTGAAGTTGGTCTTTATCCGTGAGGCCACATATATGCATACCTGTGTTTTCTGCATGCCACACAGCGCGCTCCCAGCGCAAAGACTGGGCTCTCACTGAGACCCGGTTGTCGCACTAATGATTGGGAACCATAAGTTCTGGTAGCCTGATAGCTGTGATAGTCTCTGATTACAGTGATCAGTCACTGTAATGCCCACCCCTGTTTTGTTTTTCCTCTGAATGGTGAAAAAGATACAGTACATTGTTTCCTTCTCTCCTTTCTAGGACAGAAAAATGTAAACAAACAAGCATGTGAAAAAAAAAAAAAAGGAAAATAGCTAGATCAGGTTTTCCAGCATGCTCGTTCGATAAAAGTCGGTTGTGAGATCGGCATCTGTCAGACAAGGAGCTGTTCACATGGGCCGAAAGTCAGCCGGTTTCTACTGCAACAGCTTATTTTGGCTGATATTTGGCTTGTGTGTATGGGTTTAAGTGATGGCTCAGGCTGGAACATAGAGAGGTAAGGTTAAAATATCTGTACTCAACTCATACCCTAGCTAGATTTCAGGAAGCTCCAGCAGCGCTTTAAAGACATTGGCTGTTGGTATGATCAGGCTCCCTATTGTGCCTACCTCTAGGGGTAATATTAGCTCCTTGCTAGCTGTGGTGTTGGGTGACCATATGCCAAGAAGGGGCGCCCTGTTTCACATTGCAGTAAGTGTTTTGCCCAACAATAAGCGGCAAAGTACTACATGTACTTTATCCCACCAGGAACTAAATATTATAGAAACAAATTAGCGATAATTCCTTAAACCCTTCCCACCACTGCCTCCTGGTCCTTTACGCTTGGTTCACATCTGTGCAGGTGGTACCGCTGTGGACCCGCACAAAAAAAAACCTGCAGCCGCACCACCCACACAGAGGAATGCAGGATCCATGGGTGCCATTAATTTTAATGGCACGCCGCCCGCACTGGAAATCGCTACCGTACTGGGAACCGAGGTTCCGGTGCAGGCTGCGATTTCGGAAGAAGTGCAGGGACTTCTTTCCTGCGTGTTCCGGGGCACAGGAGTCCATTCAAATGAATAGGCTGTCATACCCACACAAAACGTGACCCACACAGCCGCACATATGTGAACCTAGTGTTAAGAGCTTCGAAGTGGGGATTCGCTGTAAGTTGGCTGTCACAGTAGTCACATGATTGGAAAATTAATAGCAAGTATGCAGCTTTCTGGTCCCCGCTGGCAATTGTGCCAGGAGCACGCAGCACAGAGAAGTGTTTACACAGGATTTCATGTATGCAGCCTCGCGGCATTAAAGCCCACCTGCCGAGAGGCTGCATATATTTGTACCTCTAGCAGGAGGAAGTTAAGCTATGAAAGTTATTAAATGCTAAACAAAATAAGCACTGTTACACCTTCCTCAGGGCTTGCGTCAGTGGCCTTTTGTCTCTTCAGGTGGGTTTTGCATCCCCATACAAGTCTATAAAGAATGCTAAATTTGCTTGAAGGAATTCAAATACAGGTCAGAAGGTGGACAATTGCAGGTCAGATGCACTGTCAGTGAATTCTGAAAGATCTTAGAATGATCTCAAACGATGTCCTCATCACAAGCTCTAAGGCAGGGGTATCAAACTGTGGCCCTCCAGCTGTTGTGGAACTACAAATCCCATAAGGCATTGCAAGGCTGACAATTACAAGCATGACTCCCAAAGGCAGAGGCATGGATGGGACTTGTAGTTCTTTAACATCTGAAGGGCCGTAAATGTGCTGTATGGTATTTATTGTGGTAATATATTGTATTAGTATATGCTCAAAGTGTCTGAATGTTACCTATATTGCACTGCATGACATTTATACTTATAGTGTGTTTTAGAAGCCTAGTAGTATAGTGGTATCAAAGTATAACTAAAGGCAATTTTGTTTTTTTTAGTCTTGGATGGAGGGGAGATGGATTGACAGGACTGTCAGTTTTTATTGCTAGCTCTTTTCCCATTAGGGAGATTCACCCTCTTAGTCCTGTTTACCGTTATCATTGAAAGTGAAAGAAAAAGAAAACTTCAAATTTTGGTTTGTCCCCAGAAAAGTAATAGCGGGAAATCTTCCAATGGGGGCACTAGTTTTGGTGACCTGGGGGTCCCCAAGAAATTCCCTAAATTTGTAGGGATTTCCTCTCACATCCTTTTTGGCTATGGGACAGGAAGTGAAGGGAAATCTCCTTAGTGGGACAAAGATGGCAAACATAAACCTTAGGCCCCTTTCACACGAGCGGAGCGATGGGGTCCGCCTGTCTCTTTTTCAGGCAGAGCCGATTGGTCCATCCATAGACTTCTATGGACCGGGAGACAATAGTCCACTGACACCCGCCAGGATCCGATCCAGTCTTGTACGCCAAAAACTGACAGATGTGGATCCGTTCCCCAGCTGTCCCGTGGATCGGATTACAATCGGGTGGAAACGGACAGGCGTTCTGTCCCATTGAAATCAGAGGGCAGTGTCTGTGTCTACTCTGCAGCAGCAGAGCGGACAGAGACCTGTCATCCGCCTGCTCAGCAGGAATCAGCGGAGAGACCCCCTGCTGAGCAGGCAGATCGTGCCTACAGATCCACCCCGTCTGAAAGGGGCCTTACAGGGGTTAAAACCCTCCCTTATGCTGTCTATAATAGAAAAACGTTTTGCCTATAGTTTTACTTTAATGTCTTCTAAGGGTGTCGATATACTGTACATACTTGCAAACACGGCTCAAGTTGGAAAATACAGAACATCAATAGGAATGTCATCTATCAAATACCGCTTTGCTGAGTGCATCATTTAAAGAGATGCTTTATTTTGTTTTTATTAAGTGAGCAGTCTGCACTGGACATACTCTATGTGAAAGAATTTGAGGAAATTCTTCAAGAAGCCAAGTCAGTGGAAACTCATTTAAAACTGAAGAGGGAAAACTTGAGGAGCCAACTAACTATGATTGCAAATACTTTACAAAAGTAAACTATAAACTGAATTGTCTAAGTATGTAGTGTTTATGTATGATCATAATATAAAAACGGTATACAAAAGTAGGATAATACTGTTCTTGTCAAATGAAAAAGAAATGTCATTTCAGTTATTTTATTCTTAAACAAAAGTATGTTTTGTGTTTTGTTTTTTCTGGAAACAAAAATGAATAAATATAGTTTTTAATACGTCAGGTAATAGTGTTTGCTTTTATACAATAGAGCAGTGGTCTCCAAACTGTGGCCTGGGGGCCAAATGTGGCCCTTAGATTTCTTTTATCTGGCCCTCGGGGCATTATTTCTCCCACTGTCGGCAACAGTGGGGCATTGTTCCTGCCACTGATACTGACAATGGGGCACTATTCCTCACACTGACACCAATGATGGGGCACTATTCCTCACACTGACACCAATGATGGGGCACTATTCCTTCCATTGATACTATTGATGGAGCACTATTTCTCCAACTGACACAAATGATGGGGCACTATTCCTTCCACTGATAACAATGAAGGGACACTATTCCTCCCACTGTAACCAATGATGGGACACTTTTCCTCCCACTGATACCAATGATGGGGCACTATTCCTAACACTGATACCACTGATGGGACACTATTCCTAACACTGATACCAATGATGGGACACTATTCCTAACACTGATACCAATGATGGGGCACTATTCCTTCCACTGATATCAATGATGGGACACTATTCCTAACACTGATACCAATGATGGGACACTATTTCTAACACTGATACCAATGATGGGGCACTATTCCTCCCACTGACACCAATGATGGGGCACTATTCCTCCCACTGATACCAATGATGGGGCAATATTCCTCCCACTGATACCAATGATGAGGCACTATTCCTCCCACTGATACCAATGATGGGCCACTATTCCTCCCACTGATACCAATGATGGGACACTATTCCTCCCACTGACACCATTGATGGGGCACTATTCTTCCCACTGATACCAATGATGGGGCACTATTCCTGCCACTGATACCAATGATGGGACACTATTCCTCCCACTGATACCAATGATGGGACACTATTCCTCCCACTGATACCAATGATGGGGCACTATTCCTCCCACTGATACCAATGATGGGACACTATTCCTCCCACTGACACCAATGATGGGACACTATTCCTCCCACTGATACCAATGATGATGGGCACTATTCCTAACAGTAATACCAATGATGGGGCACTATTCCTTCCACTGATACCAATGATGGGGCACTATTTCTTCCACTAATACCAATGATGGGGCACTATTCTTCCCACTGACACCAATGATGGGACACTATTCCTCCCACTGATACCAATGATGGGGCACTATTCCTAACACTAATACCAATGATAGGGCACTATTCCTCCCACTGACACCAATGATGGGACACTATTCCTAACACTGATACCAATGATAGGGTACTATTCCTCCCACTTATACCAATGATGGGGCACTTCTCCTTCCATTGATATCAATGATGGGGCACAATTATTCCCCCTAATACCAATGTTGGGGCATTCTTTACTCTCACTGACTCCAGGACATTTTCTTCTTCCACTGGCCACAGTCCGGGCCCCTAAAAGCTTGAAGGACAGTAAACTGGCCCTTTGTTTACATAGTTTGGATATCCCTGCAAAATAGAGTATGTCACTGCTCTTGGGGTTTTCTTAATCTTCTTGCCTATTTAAGCAATGTGGGGTTGATCACTGAAGTGTTTTGGGATTCTTAATCTGTTGCCGCTGGCCATACACATATATATATATAGCGGCACATCAGCAGGCTTTCATGCCGTGTTGCCAAATATGTGCAAACAGCTGGCACCATTCTGTGCTGGGAACACGCTCATTCACCCCCTGCACTGTGCTACCCTGTTTATGACAGCTCCCAGTTACTGTTTACAATTTAGAAGTCAGTAGGACTCATTCATAATTATCAAAAGTTCAAATACAAGTTACTTTAAACAGTAATTATTATCAACATATCCTCACCCTATCCAAATATAAACACCTGGAAGAAGTAACAAACTCATAGCAACTCTTAATATTAAGGAGCACATTTCTGGAACAAGAAGTACGATATCAGATAACGGGACAAGTAGTTCAATATCAGGTAACTTATGAAGACCCCTAGTGGTCAAATTCCACCATAACATGTAATGTACACAGTTATTTAACCCTTCTCACACGAAAATGACTCACATAAAATACACACCACAGACCTATTCGATGCCATACCAATGTTAATTTTTTAAACTCCTCAGAGATATAATTTATTCATAATAATAAGAACCTATTTGGAATTTAACCCCAGTGAGATTCTGGTTTTAATTTTAGACATCCAAAACATCTCTCTCTTGCAGAGTTGCAGAAAACATCTATCCCGCGTATATGAAAGATGACTTTCTATGGTTTGTACTGCTAAGCAATATCTGCATTAGTCTCTTGAGCAAAATGTTTTGCTAAATTGGTCGGCTTACTGGTCCTAAAGAATTGAAATCCATTAAAAAATATTTTTTCTTTCTCGTATAGTACAAGACATGGGTATAGTCATAAATACCTATGTTACAGTATCTCACAGAAGTGAGTCCACCCCTTACATTTTTGTAAATATTTTATTATATCTTTTCATGTGACAACACTGAAGAAATGACACTTTGCTACAATGTGACGTAGTGAGTGTGCAGCTTGTATAAAAGTGTAAATTTGCTGTCCCCTCAAAATAACTCAACACACCGCCATTAATGTCTAAACTGGCAACAAAAGTGAGTACACCCCTAAGTGAAAATGTCCAAATTGGGCCCAAAGTGTCAATATTTTGTGTGGCCACCATTATTTTCCAGCAATGCCTTAACCCTCTTGGGCATGGAGTTCACCAGAGCTTCAGAGGTTGCCACTGCAGTCCTCTTCCACTCCTCCATGCCGACTTCACGGAGCTGGTGGATGTTAGAGACTTTGCGCTCCTCCACCTTCCATTTGAGGATGCCCCACAGATGCTCAATAGAGTTTAGGTCTGGAGACATGCTTGGCCAGTCCATCACCTTTACCCTCAGCTTCTTTAGCAAGGCAGTGGTCATCTTGGAGGTGTGTTTGGGGATGTTATCATGTTGGTCCCTGAAGAAAATGGATCATTTTCTGCTTCAGTATGTCACAGTACATGTTGGCATTCATGGTTCCCTCAATGAACTGTAGCTCCCCAGTGCTGGCAGCACTCAGGCAGCCCCAGACCATGACACTCCCACCATGCTTGACTGTAGGCAAGACACACTTGTCTTTGTACTCCTCACCTGGTTGCCACCACACACGCTTGACACCATCTGATGCAAATCAGTTTATCTTGGTGTCATCAGACCACTGGACATGGTTCCAGTAATCCATGTCTTTAGTCTGCTTGTGTTCAGCAAACTGTTTGCGGGCTTTCTTGTGCATCATCTTTAGAAGAGGCTTCCTTCTGGGATGACAGCCATGCAGACCAATTTGATGCAGTGTGCGGCGTATGGTCTGAGCACTGACAGGCTGACCCCCCCTTCAACCTCTGCAGCAATGCTGGCAGCACTCATACGTCTATTTCCCAAAGACAATCTCTGGATATGACACTGAGCACATGCACTCAACTTCTTTGGTCGACCATGTCGAGCCTTGTTCTGAGTGGAACCTGTCCTGTTAAACTGCTGTATGGTCTTGGCCACCATGCTGCAGTTCAGTTTCAGGGTCTTGGCAATCTTCTTATAGCCTAGGCCATCTTTATGTAGAGAAACAATTCTTTTTTTCAGATCCTCAGAAGTTCTTTGCCATGAGGTGCTATGTTGAACTTCCAGTGACCAGTATGAGAGAGTGAGAGAGCGATAACACCAAATTTAACACACCTGCTCCCCATTCACACCTGAGACCTTGTAACACTGAGTCTAACTGGGCCCAATTTGGACATAGTCACTTAGGGGTGTACTCACTTTTGTTGCCAGTGGTTTAGACATTAACCACTTCCAGTCCGGACACTTTTACCCCCTTCCTGGCCAGGCCAATTTTCAGCTTTCAGCACTATCACACTTTAAATGACAATTGCGCGGTCATGCATATGTATTTTTTAGCATTTTTTGAGACAGATAAAGCTTTATTTTGGTGGTATTTATTCACCATTTTTTTTGCTATATAAATGAAAAAGTCCAAACATTTTGAAAAAAAAGTGTTATTCTTATAAAATTTTGCAAATAAATAATATTTCATCATAAATCTTGGCTAAAATGTGTTCAGTTATCTTTTTAGTAAAAAAAAAAAATAACCCAAATTATTTTATAACCAAAAATGATCATTTAAAAAAAATTTTGTTTACATTTTCATTTTATTTTTTTATATTATTATTTATGGGTTTTTTTTCTACATACTGTCACCCTAGCAGTACCGTGTCACCATGGTGACACTGTACTACTTGTGGGGGGTGATGGAGATTTTTTTTTTACACTGATTGCTTTTACACCCATAAAGGCTGTAAAAGCAATCATTTCTCCTTCTCCCTGGCTGCATTCTTGCAGCCATTGAGAACTACTGTGTGAGCTCTGATTGGTCACAGCTTGACAGATGGCACAAGGCTGTTTGTGAATAGCCTTGTACCATGTGACCTCTGTGATTATTCACAGATTTCACACGTAGTAATCAACGATGTCAGAAGTGACATCTTGCTTACTACTCTGCATGTGATCACCGATTGGCCAATCAGTGATCACATGATCGGGACCTCGCACAGAGGTCCCGTACGACGATCGTTGTTCCACTGTGTCCCAGGGAGCGTGCACAGTCCATAATGGCGGGCACTGTTTATGAACGGCAACCCGCCCCTGGACTGCCATCGTCCGGCCGTTTAAATACAGCGGCCGGACGGCAGTGGTTAATGGTTGTGTGTTGAGTTATTTTGAGGGGACAGCAAATTTATACTGTTATACA